AGAGGGCTGAGAGCCTAGAGTGGGAGAGTTGCCCTGGAAGGGGCCAGGGGAAGCTTAGACCCGGTTGGGTAATAGGCTGGCCACTACCCCAGTGAGGGTCGTGGGAGAGGCCCAAAAGAGTATGTCTGCCACCCAAGGTATGAACTAGGTAAAGCCTATGGCCTAAGGGGCCCGCTCCAAGAGTGAGCGAGGTGGTACAAGTTGTTGACGTGTGAAAGCGACCCTGTGAGAGAGGGTGGAGTGTGAGAGGCCCTAGTGAGAGGAGGGAGGTATGAATGTGAGTATATCTGAGGCTTGACAACGAGGGCTAAGCTTGGTCCAGCTGTAGGCCGGGAGCACTGATGCCATCTGCGAGGCTTGGGCTGCGGTGTAGGGGAGGAACGGAGCCACAGATAGCCCCCCCTGGCATTGGGGCAATAGTGGGCAGCCTCCCGCCTTAATTAATATCCTAATTAATTAACAACAAGGCATGGCAGGTGGGTCAGGGGGGTGGCGGGCCCAAAGGCAAGTGGGTAAACTAGCACTGTGGCTAGTTGGGGAGCCCCACTTTGCCACAATTGCCACGGGGAAAATAGGTATGAGATCATTACCACTAATAAGCACTGAAGACAAAGTGAACAACCTGAGAAAATCCAAGTAGAACAAAAAAAAAAATTGAAATGAAAATAAAATAAGATTGTGTTCATCAGTCTTAGGAATCAAATATTTTGAGTGTAAAATGATTTGACATCCTGGGAACATGTGGAGTGACTGCAAGGAGCATAATCTATACTTTCCAGTAAATACATTTTTATATACAAATTCAGTTTCATATAAGGCACTAAAACTGCTTCTACACAAAGACAAGGGTGTATGCATGAATAACTTATTTGGCACTCGATAGGAAAAAATAATCTGGTAAATTACTCACAAATCACATTTGACCAGTTCTATTTGGGAAGAGTTGTCAGGTGATTAAAGTCACTTGATCTTTGGGATTCTTGAGCTGTATTATATGCCTTTATAGCTGCAATTGCCTGACATATCTTATTGACTGAATGTTCATTTTAGATAGTGTTTCACTTGAAGTCAGGATTTTGGTAAATTTACTGAACAGTTATAGCAAATTGATATTAAAAATCAGGGTTATGTAGCCAATGCTTTGTTAGAATGGCATGATTTCATATATCATAAGAGGTAACATTCAGTTTGGTTGTTCCTCACCCAAAATCTATAGAGGCCAGTGAGAGTCTTCTGTTTCCTTGCACCTGTGGCTGAACTTGCCTTGATGCCTACATTGAAAGAAGTCAAGGAATTTGCTTTTTCAATAATGTTGCATATGGAGTTTCTGAGACGTATATGCTCATTTTGCTTCAAAGATCCTTGAGCCTTTGCTGTGCAGCATTGTGCTGAAATTTCAAGGAAAGGAAACAAAGAAATTGAGGTCAGGGATTTTTCATGTCTGCCACTGTTTTGGTTTTTCCTGTGCTTTTTCTGGTTTGGTGTTTTCATCAAGTGGACAGAATCTTTCACCAAATTGAAGTATATAATTCAGATGTCCTACTAGCCTTTCTATAATATTTTATGATTTATAAACTGTTTGAACTGCCTGTAAAAATCTGAAACCACAGATGGAAAAATCTGAAGCATAACATTCTTGTGGTATAAAATGACACTTTTTACACTGCCTGATGTACACTGAAGCCTTCAGCTTATGTTCCAAATGTTTTCTCTATATTTAGCTCTGATAAGTCCATCTATTGTTTGTTATCACATTTTGGTGGTTATAGCTTAAAGAGAACTAAGGCAACACAGTTTGGATCTACTTTTGGCACTTATTGCTACAAGTCAGCTAGACTAAATGCACAAAACTGACATGGAAGTTGTTGCGACAGTAATGTACCATGTGTGTCTAACTTTTAAAAAATGACTAAATTTGAACAAAAAGCAAGTAAGAACAAACTATTATTGTTTCTAATTTAATGATTTTTTCCAGTTGTTTGGCTTTGACAATTCTGTCAGCCCTCTAGCACTGTAATTTTCTGTCAGCCCTCTAGCACAACATTTTTGTGTTTTGGGTTTTTTTAACAATTGAAAACAAAGTCAGTTCTTCCCGTCAAGATGCACTTTTGCTTCCTTGAGGCTGACAGAAGAAAACTGCCACTTACAATGGGGTAGGAAGTCAATCACAGGTTTTTTCAGTGCAGTGTCCCATAACATTGCACTACCTTTCAGATTTCAGCTGTGCTTTGAGAGGGTGCATGCAGCAGGATGCTGGATGCTCCAGGCTGGCTCAGCAAAGTTGCATGAGCATGTGCTCAAACATAAGCACTTGCATGGACCCAGGAGTGCTCCTCTGTTTAAACCTGAGCACTCAAGTCAGTGCTTTTCAGCTTTTTTAAACTGGAGGCCCCACTTGGAAAATGCCACCTCTTAAGTTTGCACTCAAGTTTTTGACTAGTGAAAGAATAATAGAGCAATTCTTCTGCTGCAAAGGTCTCAGAAAGCCCAGAACAGGTTAGGAATCAGAACTTGTAGAGGTGATATCTTTTATTAGACCTACTAGATTTTTGCCAAAAAATGTCTTGAATTGCAAGCTTTTGGGCACAAGTATCCTTCCTCAGGCATAGGAGAAAAGATTGTACAAGTTCTTCCAGGTAGAAATGGAAGTTCATATTTCATAGGAGAGCTAAAGGTGAATGGTACAGTTCATTGTATGCAGGTCAAGATGTTTTTGACACTGTGGCTTCCTACTTGAAATCCCGGGGTGTACCTTGTGAATGGTGCTTGCACACCTAAAAAGTGTTTAACCTTGCATGGCACCCTTGAAAGGACCTCAAGGCCCGCCAGGCACCCTGGTTGAGAATCACTAGCTCAGGTGCTTTGCTGGTTCGGTGGGCAAGCGATGACTTCTTTGTTCCCGAGCCCGGCTTCTACTTCTGGCTGAAACATGCTTTTACTTATTTCTGGCTGAGAGCGAAACAAGCTGATTCTGGGTTTCTGAGAGGGGGCAAGTCCCAGCCTGGATGCCAGTGACAAAAGCCGAGTCATAGGGAGGGGGGGCGAACATCCCATCCGAGGTGGCGGCTAGATATGTTTATTAGCCCGGCGGCTGAGTCCCTGCCAGGCGTCGCTCTGCTGATCCCCGAGTGAGTCCTTGTAAGTGCATGCTCACGCACTTCACCCCACCCCTGCCAGCGAGGCTCGCGGGGCGGGACCTTGCCGTGCTCCCGGCCCGGCCCGCGGCGGGGGTCACTTCTAGCTACGTGGTGAGAGGCTGGGCAGGCGGGCAGCGAGTCTCGGCCGGGAGCGCCCGGGGCCCGCGTGGAAGTGCACAGGCCGGCGAGCACGGAGCACTCTCACGCACACAGGTCACACATAGACCACACACACAGCTCGCTCGCACCCCCCCCGCACAGCTCAGACGCATACAATCACAGACACACTCGGATCACACGCAGCTGTCAGGCAGTCAGACACAGCTCACCCCCGCTCCGCAGCGAGGCCGCGCCCATTACCGAGAGAGCGGCGCGGCGCGGCGCGCTGGGCTCGGGCTGCCTCCTC